GGTACATATTTCTACCGATAATTATCGGTTATTTTTATATACATAAATGGTGGTTTTTGAAAAAAAAAAACGAACATTTCCTACACGAACACGTCGTGTTGGTCGTGTGTGTTTGTGTCACGAAACTCAACTCTAGTTGCTCTATATCAGCGGTCGGCCCATCCGCTTCTCCCTCACGTATAACGAAGATGTTCGTGTGACTTCGGCATGGGTCTTTGGGTCTTTTTTTTCTCAGTTTCGGCTTCGCAGAGCGACAGAAATCAAAATCACTTGCTGTTCAGCCGTCGACAGAAAGACCAAGCTGCGCAACTTTTTGATACTCACTCAGAAAAATGAACTTCGATAAAAATTGGTAAGTCCAATATATCTTTATAGAAAATATTGATGACGGCAAATTTTTTTTGCGCCTTAATTGAGGATAGGAAATATCCGAACCTCAAACATGGGGAAGCAGCTTTTTCCAGTATGAAAATAATATTAACTAAATTGAGGAACAAAATGAATGATCAACATTTAGCGGATCTCTTGCGGATCAAAGAATATAAAGGAGAAGTCAATTTGGAACAACTCTTAAGTCCTGAAGAAAACTAAAATATTTTATTTTATTCCCAATTGTTTTTAAATTTGTTTGTTTTTTTGGTTTTTGGATTTTTTATTTTGTTTCTGTTTTATTTTATGAAAATAAAAATAGTTCCAATTATTATTTTTATGTATTATTTTATAGTTATATTAATTTTCTGATTCTATGGTCTTTAATTTTTAGGCTTTCTTTTATTATATCGTATTTTTTTTTTTTTTATTTAAAAAATCTTCTGACGTCGAAAATCGTTAACCACATATTTTTCACTTGATGTCATTGGTTGCCAAGTCAGGGCTGTACGGTGGATGTCCCATCAATTCGACGTTTTGGCGGCTTAACCGCAGAACTTGTCGGATCGAGTTCAACTCCGACTGGATACAACTTTTTTTTAATGTACGGTCAAGTTTTTTTTTTAGCTTTCAAACTGGTATACTTATTTCCCTTTTAAAAATCTTTATTCTATGAGTTTAAATTGCGTTCAGTTTTAATATTTACGGCTATTAATTTAAATGTTGACAGACAAGAAAATTATAAATTTTAAAATTTTTTCGGGAATCGTCAATAAATCATTTTTGTTTCCAGTAATATTAAAGGCTGGTGTTTTTTTGTAAAAAAAATTTTATTAATATTTTTAGTCCTTGGATTCAATTTAAAATGCATACTCAATAAAAATGATAATTTTTGAACAAATTGATAAAATTTAACATCTTTTAAAAAAATTAAACTCACATGTTTTTATTATTTGCTCCAAGTACTTTTTCTCATAAGTATAAGACAGATTCTTTGTTAGATTTTAACCAATTTTGTTATGCTTTTGCAGTCTTTTAAATGAATTTATACAAAATATATCATTTATTGTTTTCCCCTTTCTGTAAACTTTTAAATTTATTGCCGTAAAAAAAGAATTACACTCAAAGGAAAAAAATAGTAAATTAAAATACATCTAAAAAATATATAAATACTTTCAACGTCTCAGAGAGGATTCGAACCTTAACTCCTGTAGTCCCCAAAAACGGGGTATATTGATGGTGTATTGACAAAAAAGGTTTTAATATTTACCTTTCAAGCCTAATACTACCATCTTACTCTAGTAATTTACTTTTAATTAGATGACCATAGAACTAGGTACTATTTATGCTGGTGCTAGGTACTATTTATGGTTAAGTGAAAAGTCCCGAGCTACTGTGTTGACTGCACTTTAATGTGCCAAATAGATTTACTATAACTATATTTAAATAGTTTAAAATCATTATATTTCTAATTACCCAGGAACACAAAATCGAATTTTGTGAAATTTAAACAAACCAAGATATTTGGGTGCTCCTGAGTAAAAGTCCCATACAAACACCAACAGGTTCCGCGGTAAAGATAAGAATACAAAAAACCGGTGTTTGATGATGTTTCACATCTTAAATATTTTCGCTGAAACACACTCTCAATACATAACGGCATTGCTAAAAAAAAAGGCCCAATCTTGAACCATTGTCAAATTTACAAAAAAAAATCATGGCAACCTATTGAAGTGAGTAAATGTTTTTATAAATAAAATAATTTTATTTAATTAAATCTTCGGAATATAAAAATAAAAAATCCGTTAACACAATGAAATTGATTTTGAGATGTTTTATGCTAGTTTTTTGGAGACATTATGCTGTTTTAAAAAAATATATTACCAATACAAACTTCTTGTTTGTTCGCAATATAGGTTACCATGGAACATTTAAAAATTTTACAACATGTAGAGGCAGAAAAAAAATTAAAAAGAAAATTTTGATATAACAAATCCAATAAAATATATTCTCAAAATCTCTTCAAACCGAATATTCATTCTTCATCAAAACTTGTCCACAGTTTTCGAAGTCCATTATTTACAAAAAGTGATATTGTGCTGTTGGTTACTTTATCAATTTTGTAACAAGGTGGTCGTGAGCATGTATTTTCAGTAAGACACCAAAAATTAATTTGGCCATTCTAGCGTCTCGACCAATGGTTTTTTTCTCGTAATTCCTTGTTTTATTTAGTACATCGTGTTACATTTATCTAAACAGCATACTTATTTACCGAATAGTATATGTAAAAAAAGTTTCAGGCAAATAAAAAATGTCAACTTAAAAAAGGTTTTCGGTTTGTAAAACCGAGTATGCAAATCAGCTGTTTCCGATGTTGCATACTTTATTTGGTCATAACCTTTTAACGAATTGTCTGACTTCGATAATTTTTGGCATGTATATGGGTATTGATAACACAGGTTTCTAGAACAATTTCTAGTTTTCCATGACAATTGGATCCTCCTGAGTAAAAGTCCCATACAAACTGGAAATTTTTTGGTGCTGGCAATTATTACTTTCGCGAATTCAATTTTTCTTAAAAGTGTTGTGCTTGTAGCGCATTGTAACATTGTAGTTCTCAAAAGTAATCATAATGAAGCTTAAAAAGATGCCTCCTTAGATAATATATCGAAAAATATATCGAAAAATTTTCAGTATGTGGAGGATGTGTAAAATACTATATACCTATATATGTACCTTCATAATTCAACTTTAATTACAACTACAAGGGTCCATGGCTGACTGCAAAGATATTTCTTTATACAATTTTTATAAAATCACAATCCCTGACGGATTTTGTTTTTTGACAATTTCCAATTTACAAATGCAATTTCGAATAAGTGGTGTCCTATTTTCTTTTAGATGTACTTCAGGGAAAGAAGTATTTGTGCATTGAAATTATTTAAAAAAAAATCATAAAATAATTATATTAGGTTTTTGATTAAATTTTTTTGATATTGCTTGAGTACATATTAACAAAAAAATAACAATATATTTTTCGTAAACGTTAAGATTAACTTTAAATTAAATAAAGAACTTTATTTTCATATGAAATAAGTATATGTGCATACTGCAAGAAAATTCGAAATACAAGTTGAACAATTTTTTAACAATTTTAAATATACTTCTTAATAATTTATATGTTTTCCTTTCTTAATAAAAATTTGATTAATCCGATTGGGCATTGAAGTTGCCAAGTTTTGCAGAGTTGTCGGATTTATTTGATCCCATTCCTTGATCAAAGCCTTTTTGAGGTCATTAACTGTGTCGAACTGGCGGCCATTTTGTAAACTTTATTAGAAAGTATTCCCCAAAGATCTTCTATTGGGTTTAGGTCTGGGCTGATCGCTGGCCATTGCAATAGCGGTATTTTTCTAGCTGCCAGAAAGTCTTTAGTTTTACGAGCTGTGTGGATTGGCGCGTTGTCTTGCTGGAATATCCACTCATCCCCATAATGGTCTCCAGCAAATTCGATGAGCACAGTTTCCAGTAACTCTATATAAATTTCTGCATTTGTTCTAGTCGGTATAAAACAAAGTGGAGACTTCCCAGCATACCCAAATCCGGCCCAAACCATTAATGATCCTCCACCGTGATTTCGTTTATGGCAGATCTGTCGTGGTTGCCTTTTGTCTCGCCAATACTTTTGACAGGAGTCAGGACCGTCTAAATTAAATTTTTTTTCGTCCGAAAATATAACTTTTTTAAACTCCTCCGACCAAAATTTGTATTGCTCAGCAAATTGTAGACGAGCGGTTATGTGACGCTTTAATAGCCTTGGTACAGCGTCGCGTGAACCATATGTAACCATTTTGTTCTGGTTCAAAATTTGGTTTATACGTCTTTTGGATACGTCAAGATTCAGTTGACCTTTTATCTCCATGCAAGACTTGTTGTCTTGAACAGCTAGACGCCGAATTTGTCTCTTGCACCGCTCGTCGATTTCAGTGGGCCTGCCGCTTCGCTTTATTTTTCCATAACTTTCCGGATTTTTAAGGAAGTTACTTATTGTATTCCTGTGCCTATTTAATCTGGCAGCAATATAAGAAATGGTCTGGCCAGATTCAGCCAGTCCTTTGATCATGCCGCGATCTTCCTCTGACAAATGTATACCACGTGGCATTCTACCGTAAAATCAAACTTAATATTAATTATTTTATTCTACAAGGATAAACAATATATTTTACTTACGTTCCGCTGATTAAAAAATATTTTTAGATCACACTTCTTAGCTTACTCGCTATCAATAACAAAATAATCTCAATTTGCACATATACTTATTTCCTATTAAAAACACAAGTTTCAGCACATGTTATTAAAAACGGTACAACGAATGATGCCCAAAGAGGACCATTGAATTAGGAGATGTTCATAAAAGATAAGAATACAAAACTGCGTACTTACAAAAACTGTACCGTTAACTTTAGAGAAAATAAAATAAAATTAAAAAGTGCACATATACTTATTTCCCTGAGGTATGAGCCAAATCACGTACAAAGGTAACTGTGACTTTACTGATACCATATACATTGTCTAATATAATCATAACGAAATAATCTAATGTTATAAATGTTGTTATATTTTTTTTCTAGGCATGAAGTTTTAAAAGGAAAAGCTAATACGAACGGGGAGAGCAACATTGAGGAGGATTGCGAATTCAAACGAGATTCACGTGATGACCGTTCACTGCCAAAGACTATTTGCCAGAATGAACCAGTAAGTAAAATACCGGGTGCATGCATACATTAATATTTCATCCAAAAAGGGCAATAAAACCAAATAAAGACAAAAGTTAGTAAAAGCCCAGTGATTAATTCTTTTCGCCAAGGTGTTTAGTGGCGTTTTTTGAATGGAATAGGCAGCCAGGACTGAAAAATATATTGGATTGATACTTTTAAAGGCTTAGGTAACACAATTGGCGTTTTTCAGGACACTTACACTTGCTATTTATATTTCTTTATAATAAAAAATGGTTTTATTGTTTTTCAAATTATTCTCCACCAAGAGTTATACACTTTTGCATGCGCTCAAACACATTTTCAGTGCACTTTTCCCACTCCGATTGAAATACATCCAAAACATGGGTTTTGAATGCTTCGACAGAACATGCTTGGTCCAAACATTTTTGTGGAAAAGGCCACTTGGTCCTTATCTGGCTAGAAGTGTCCTATGTCAGACATATAAATAGCAGTCTTCGTATGAAACAAACTTGCGCTGTGTAGAAAATCCTACATTCTGATAATCGGCAGACGAATTTAAGCGTAATGGGCGTTAGAGTGTGTGAAAGTGTGTGTACATTTCAGCTAAAATTTTTATACCCGTTACTCGTAGAGTAAAAGGGTATACTAGATTCGTCGGAAAGTATGTAACAGGCAGAAGGAAGCGTTTCCGACCCCACAAAGTATTTATATTCTTGATCAGGATCACTAGCCGAGTCGATCTAGCCATGTCCGTCTGTCCGTCTGTCTGTCCGTCCGGATGAACGCTGAGATCTCGGAAACTATGGGAGCTAGGCTATTGAGATTTGGCGTGCAGACTCCTGAGCTTCTTACGCAGCGCAAGTTTGTTTCGGCACAGTGCCACGCCCACTCTAACGCCCACAAACCGCCCAAAACTGTGGCTCCTACAGTTTTGATGCTAGAATAAAAATTTTAACTGAAATGTATTGTTCTCATCAATACCTATCGATTGACCCAAAAAAAAGTTTGCCACGCCCACTTTAACGCCCACAAACCGCGAAAACCTGTGACGCCCACAATTTTCATGCTAGATAAAAAATTTTAACTGAAATGTATTGGTCTCGTCGATACCTATCGATTGTTCCAAAAAAAAATTTGCCACGCCCATAACGCTTAAATCTGTATACCGCCGGTAGGTGGCGCATTTTAATCTCGCTTTGCTGCTTGCATATCTCCATATAGCTGAGTAACGGGTATCTGATAGTCGAGGTACTCGACTATAGCGTTCTTCCTTGTTTTATCATGAGAACATGACGAGACTAATGTATTTCAGTTTAAATCTGTTTTTAGCATGAAAGTTGTAGGCGCCACAGCATTGTGCGGTTTGTGGGCGTCAGAAAGGCCGTGGCATTTTCGCGTAACAAAACTTGCGCCTCGTAGAAAGCTACGGAATCTAAATTGAAAATCCCAATTCTCTACCTCTTATAGTTTCCGAGATTAAAACTATGGGAGCCACGGTTTTAGGCGATTTGTGGGCGTTAAAGTGGGTGTGGCAAACTTTTTTTTTTTGCGTCAATCTATAGATATTGACGAGACTAATACATTTCAGTTAAAATTTTGTGTCTAGCATAAAAATTGTGGGAGCCACAGGTTTTTGCGGGTAGTGGGCGTTGCATATTCGCGTAACAAACTTGCGCTGCGTACAAAGCTACGGAAAGTTAAAGTGGTCGTTAAAGTGGGTGTGGCAAACTTTTTTTTTAAATCAATCGATAGGTATTGATGAGATTAATGCATTTCAGTTAAAATCCCAATTCCCTATCTTTGATAGGTTCCGAGATAACCTCGTTCATATTTACAAATTTTTTATATTTTTGGCCGGTTTGTGGGCGTTTAAGTAGACGTGGCAAACCATAATATTTTTTAAACGGGTCAACAAGTAATAGTATAAATCATGTACTCACTTTTGCTTTTCACTGTAATTATACTGATAGTTCCAATGACAGCTTTATGATATAGTCGACCGATTTTTACATAACAATGTCAATATTCGGAGATCTTAAAATATCGCTAGTCCCCAGAGTAGAAGAAAATATAATGAAAACAATAAAGCATGAATTTTAAATCGTTAATTTTTTATCTTTTTTTTTTAGCAGCTAAATATTTTGTGTAGTCGTCCGACTAAAAACAATTTTACACTCTGTGAGTGGAAAATAATTTCATTAAAAGCAACGATGACGCTCTAGTTTGATTATTCCAAAGAGAGCTGTATATAATTGTCTGATCCGTCTTTCTTCTTCGCTGAGTTGCAAACTTTTGACTGAAACCATAATACCCTCTGAAAAAGTAAGACAACAATTTTGTTTAATTCCGTCTCTTTCCTCATTGCCATTGCTCCTTTGTTCCCTTGCCTATATGCCCTGCCCCTGCTGCTTTTTTTATTGGGTGTTGTAATTTGTAAACACAAATTAAGTGGCATATACGATCTTAAGAAGTAAACAAAACCGCCTTGCCTTTAACAGGTTGTTACTCAACTCCGTGCCAACAAAATTAGTTTTCGTGGTTTATTTTAACGATTTCCATAATATTTAGGTGCTCCAGAGTCCCATATACATTTTTTTCCATCACATCTGAGGTATAGCTGAGAATACAAAAAACTGATGTTTGCACACATTGCATTATGTGGCTGTTGTGACTCGCACCCGATCGTTCAAGTTGAGCGACCAAAAGTCTACTCAGGGGTTCTTTCACACACTTTGCAGCGACAACACAGGGCATATGTCAAACTTCAATAGTTGTATTCAATTAACAAAGGTTCAATCTTTGACTTGAGCTTATTGTAGGTCTACAAACGCGAGAAGCTAAAAAAAAGTTGCTTCTCCTTGGTGTCTGCTTCTTTTTCTTTTTTGTCATCGTTTAGTGGCCAAAAATTTTTGATTTATTTTAAATTTGACAACATATAGGAGCAGATAATGAAACTAAAAAAATCGGTTTTGTTGCTATAACAAATCCAATAAAATATCCGCAGTAAATTGCTTTAATTGGACAATGGATTCCAAGAAAAATAAAAATTACTTTCATTTAAGATTAAGAAAAACTCAGCAGTTATTTTCAGAAGTATATAAAGGACAAAAAATACACAGACTTATTTGAGTAATTTGTAATCAAATTGAAAAAAATTGTATTAAAACAAGGAAGAACGCTAAGTCGAGTACCTCGACTATCAGATACCCGTTACTCAGCCAAATAGAGATATGCAAGCATCAAAGCGAGATTGAAATGCGCCACCTACCGGCGGTATACAGAATTAAGCGATATGGGCGTTAGAGTGGGCGTGGCAAATTTTTTGGATCAATCGATAGGTATTGACGAGACCAATACATTTCAGTTAAAATTTTTTTTCTAGCATGAAAATTTTGGGCGTCACAGGTTTTCGCGGTTTGTGGGCGTTAAAGTGGGCGTGGCAAACTTTTTTTTGGGTCAATCGATAGATATTGATGAGAACAATACATTTCAGTTAAAATTTTTTTTCTAGCATCAAAACTGTAGGAGCCACAGTTTTGGGCGGTTTGTGGGCGTGGCACTCTGCTGAAACAAACTTGCGCTGCGTAAGAAGCTCAGGAATCTGCACGCCAAAAAATTACTTTCATTTAAGATTAAGAAAAACTCAGCAGTTATTTTCAGAAGTATATAAAGGACAAAAAATACACAGACTTATTTGAGTAATTTGTAATCAAATTGAAAAAAATTGTATTAAAACAAGGAAGAACGCTAAGTCGAGTACCTCGACTATCAGATACCCGTTACTCAGCCAAATAGAGATATGCAAGCATCAAAGCGAGATTGAAATGCGCCACCTACCGGCGGTATACAGAATTAAGCGATATGGGCGTTAGAGTGGGCGTGGCAAATTTTTTTGGATCAATCGATAGGTATTGACGAGACCAATACATTTCAGTTAAAATTTTTTTTCTAGCATGAAAATTTTGGGCGTCACAGGTTTTCGCGGTTTGTGGGCGTTAAAGTGGGCGTGGCAAACTTTTTTTTGGGTCAATCGATAGATATTGATGAGAACAATACATTTCAGTTAAAATTTTTTTTCTAGCATCAAAACTGTAGGAGCCACAGTTTTGGGCGGTTTGTGGGCGTGGCACTCTGCTGAAACAAACTTGCGCTGCGTAAGAAGCTCAGGAATCTGCACGCCAAATCTCATAGCTCCCATAGTTTCCGAGATCTCAGCGTTCATCCGGACGGACAGACAGACGGACAGACGGACATGGCTAGATCGACTCGGCTAGTGATCCTGATCAAGAATATATATACTTTGTGGGGTCGGAAACGCTTCCTTCTGCCTGTTACATACTTTCCGACGAATCTAGTAAAACCCTTTTACTCTACGAGTAACGGGTATAAATATTGAAGGAAGGGCATTGCTTGTTCTTGGACTGAGCGCTTCACATTGTTATATACCTGCTCCTTACAGTAAAAAATAATAAGAAATGAAAAAAACAAAAAAACAAATCCTCTCCAGGATTTGAACATCTCTGACCCTTGTGTTCGTACACGCGCGCTTTATCCGGTTGAACCAAAGACAACTTACATTCATGTTCAAACCCCGTGTTTAATAAGACCATTGTTTGCAATCAAATGGATTTTGTCCACTATAATGTATTGGTCAAATTCAGCTTTCGGCCCCATAAAGCGGGCAATGGAAATAGCTATGCTCACCCTTTGCCGGCACATGTACAGCGTACAACAGCAGCCGTCACACACACATAGACGTGAAATTCATGACAGAAAACAAATGTCATTGTATTGCGTGCCGACCGTTGGTCTAACTATAAAAAAGTAAACAAGAAAAAACCCTATAGTTGACGCCCTAGACTATCATATACCCGTTTCTCATCTTAAGGTGGACACCACACAAAAGCGCCACGTAGCGTCTATTTCAATAACACGCCACCTAGCTTTCATTCCTATATGTATTTGTAGGTGGCGATTTAATAATATCTCGTTAAAAGCCGATTTGCTCCATAAATA